TAGGCAATGGTTATATGTCTGCCTACATTGCAAAAAACAAATATAAATTCAGTTCAGACCAACAAACTACTCCTACGCCAGTCCTGATCACACTGCGATCAAGTACTTTCTCCTTTGCAGCTCCAGTAACTGAGTGTTGGAGTATATATTCATGCCATGCTTTTCTTTCATAGTGAAAAGTTCCAGGACGTGATTTCACTTGCATAGTTAGTTTTAATGGTATTTGTTCCCGTGTTTTGACTGTAGTTTACCCCATATATATGGCGAGTTCTATGGTACCCTGTGTGAAATTCGGGGTATCGCATACCTTGAGTATGTAAACACTATCTAGACCTTGAATTGACCGATCTTTCGGACATGATACTATACTCTAACCCTTAAAGATCAAAATCTAGGTCTTAGTTCTCCCAATCTTATACTCCAAGATCAATTTAATTAGAAACAATAATCGACAATTATGATTCGTCCCAATATAGGCACAAAAAGGAATGCACTATCTTAAGGTTTATAGATTATGATTTAGATAATTAGGACACACGGTTCACTTATTAAGGGTTAGGGTATAGTATCAAACCCAAAAATCCTGCTAATTCGAGGTCTAGACAGCGTTTCCATACTCAAGGTATACGGTACCCTTGATTTCACCCGGGGTACCGTAGAAGCCACCCATATATATATATATATATATATATATATATATATATATATAAGATTCCCCCAGTATTAAGATTCATCAAACTAACCCTATATATATATTACCCCATAGTGTATTGATATCCACGTTCCAACCTCATCATTCACTTTTGCAAAGAAACTAAGGCCTGCTATGAGAACCTGGTCATGACATCCATGCGTTTCAGGTTACAGAACATGATCAGGCAGAAAAAAAAAAAACTCTCTGACTTTTCCGCACTTGCATTCTCATTAGAAATACCATTTTTCCTTTGCAGGAAATGTCAGTGCTTCAAACACAACTGCCACACGCATAGTCATCTCGCCAGCGGCCCAGGAAACTCAGCCACTCACTGCATTGTACGGGCGCAGTAAAGTGTTTTATTGTGCACCGGTGAATCCAGTTAAACATCTTCCTAATTGCATTTGTGTTATGCAGCTTCGGTGATGCTGTTGCAGCAATCGGAATCGTCCCAGCTGAGTGTGACACCCCTGAAAAGGCACTCACATTATACCGTGATTCCTTCAAGACAATTCCAGACTTGCAGGCTGATTCTAACATGGTCTGCTTCGGGCTTCCTTGCTAGCTCCTTCGTCGGCCTTCCTCCTAAGAATGGTCACTTCATGTTCCAATTGCTCACTGTTTGTTTAACCTGCAGGGTGGTAAGTTTCGCTGCAAGGGGAAAGTGACAGACATAGATACATCGCGTGAATGGTGCTATCTCGGCTGTGCTGTCTGTTTCAGAACGGCCATCCGTCGTGACGCACCTTTTTGGTGTGAAAAGTGTCAGGCCACAGTTCACCCACATCAGCTGAAACAATGGTTTGTTCCTCCCACTCAAGTTTTGCGGTGACACTTCTTTGGTCACACATCACTGACGCATGCACGATCTTTATTTTCTTCTATATGCAGTTTTCGCATATGCATCATGGTCCATGATGGTTGCGCGTTTGCTCCTTTTGTCCTGCTTGGCCAGACTGCAGAGAATTTCCTCGAGGTGTCTGCAGGTACTCTGCTTGCGGCTGCGCCGGACCGTGGCGGTGGGTACCCTCCAGAAATAGAAGCTTTGGTAGGCCAAGAATGTATCTTTTTGGTCAACCTCCCACTGGGCCAGTCGAAAGACCCAATGGACGATTTCTGCGCTCTAGCTGTAGAGAAGGAATCCAAGTTGGGGACCCTCGGTGGAAAAGGCCACGGGCCACGCTTTGTGACCAGCTCTCATTTCAATCTATCCATGCACATATTTTCAAATGTGGCGGCGAAACTGCAGTGGCAAAACATATCATGCCTTTGTGATTCCAGGCATTACAAATGACTTGCACTTCACAATAATTCGAAAATTCTTTCTTACCAATTTCCCTCGATTCCAGGATACCTCCAGCGACGGGTACAACCTTAACTAATCTCCTAGCCCCTTCGAACATCCCTGCCACGCCTGCCAAAGAATTGCAGCCCACACCAAGTTCTGCACTACTTACCGATGACCATTCGTCCCCTTCCCCAGGGTATGTCGCTTCTTACTTACATCCTTTTGTCAACCTTTATGTTTTCTCTTACAGAGAATTCTATCCTTTTTGTACTTGCTCATGCACCATCTCCCACTCTGCATGTACAACTAGCTACGTTTTTATTAAGATGTCTTTTGTTCCAGTTTGAACTCGCCGTTGGCAGCAATCACTATTGAAACCAGGTGCTCCAGTGCGAAAGGCAAGGGGGTTGCTGGCCAACCTTACAATCCAAGCGTGGACCCTGCACTGCCTCGGTTAGTTTTGCGTTTCTTGCTACGCAACTTGCAACAATGTTGCACGTGTTCAATTGCCTGCATTTAACCAACTGTCTCGCCTTTCATGCCTCTGTATAGTGTACATACAGAGAATGACTTCGCTGTAGGGGACACCCATGAGGTCCATGAAAAGATAGTGCCCAGTGGAAAGTTGAGGAAGGATATCCCCCCTGCTATGCTTCCCATACGCACGTGAGCAACTTTATTCCCTTCTTCAAACCTTCTCTTCTTCACCTTTCGTGCACCTTCATGCTTCGTACTTACAGTTCGTACCTTGCCTTTAACTAGGAACACTCATCCCCTTGCAAAAGTTAAGCTAGAAAATCTGGAATCCTCTCTCAGGAAGAAGAAGCAGCAGCCAGTAGACTCTGATGACGTGCCTATCGCTGAACTAAAGAAAAAAACCAGCAAAACCAAATCTGCCGCGAAGAAGCTCTTCGATTGATGACTGCATTCGTTCCTTTCCTATCCATCTTTTGTGCTTGACAACCTTAGCTTCTATCCTGCCAAACATCTTTTGCTCGCTGGTCCTGTTCACTACCATAACAATGCATCCCATTTCTTCTTCCGTGTACTGTAAACAATGTTTGGCCTCATTGTAGCGACTCCCTGACTTTGTAAGGTGTGTCATTTGGATTTCGGATTATGTAATGCCTGAACTTAGATTAGCAAGGTTTCTACTAAGCTATGTTTCGTATTTTGCTAAGTGGAACATATTTTGCTTCTGTCAGGGATTCCTGTCTTGCGTTTCCAAGTTTTATCAAAACAGAACCCCAGTACCCTTTTATGTTTACAAGTTTTTCCCTCTCACTGGTGTGTTTGGAAAATGAAACTACCAAAGTATGGCCATGTTTGTGGTCTTAGATTGAAGGGGGAAAAAACACAAAATGGCCTTCTATTCTGTTTGCAAGTTTCCTTCTCTACTTTGTCTTGGGTGGAAATTCACGTTCCAAACTTTCCTTACCATGCTGTACTTTTTTGCAGGGTTGGTGGTTCAGACACATCCTTTTATACCACACATATGTGACTGATTGATTTAACTGCCTAACACCACTGCCTTAGCTTGCCACCCCTCTTCCTGATCTTGGACTTTGCCCCTTACTTTTCCTCTCTTCTCTTGGATCACTTGATATACTTGCCTCCACCCTAATAATTACATGAGTTCCAGACTCTTTTCCACCTCTCCACTGTGGTTTCCCAGCATGTTCTTCTCTATTTTGCAGAATTGAAGGCCTTATAGCCTGAACTGCTGTTGCTCTTGCTGTGGCGGAACATGATCATTTGCTAGGCCAGCTCTTCTCCTGCCTGTGTCTTTTGCAAAAGGTATGCTTTCTTTTTATGAGTTTTCTTTGCGGCAGATTGTATTCACTCATGCTCTTAAAGTGCAAATCCAGATACTCTTAATTATGTACTTTTCAATGGCAATTGTGTTATCCTACGTTCTTGCCAGTTGAGGTAACGTGTTTTGTGTCTTATGATAACTTCCTTTGTGCAGGCGCCTATTTCCCCCGTCCGACTGAACACCATTTTTCTTAACACTTATGCCTGAAAAGTTGCAGTCAAAGCGGCCTCTGCCAGAAATATCTTCGACCCCAAAGAAAAAAACTCACACCAGCTCGCCACTAAAGGGCTCAACAACGCCTCCTATCACCAACCGCAGGGTCAGGAAACCTACCTTCACTCCTGAACATTTTCGGTCTTTTGTTGCAGGCTCGGTGGCCGCATCCATTCCAAGGTACTGCTCATCCTCCACTTTGACGTTTGCATTCTGATCATAAGATTCATTCACCCTATGCACTGAACACATTGGTTCTACAATGTAACAGCAACACACCAACAGAAGAACACCGATCTGATGCTTTGCCAGAAATGGAAGCTTCCCATCTACGACCGACAGCAGGGCTTACAGAACCATCCTCCAGGTCATTCTCTGACACACACCCACAGCGCTTTCCTGCTAATACTGGTGGTCGATCAAAAAAGAGTCGAACCCGTTCTACTGCCACTACGAGCAGTTGTGCAGATCAGAATGCCACAGACTTTTGGGAAGATACCATTTTGGATTTCGGCCTCCCAGAGTCAGAATGTCCGTACTGTGGAGCTTTGTTCTGGTATGCTGAGCGACTCGATCGTCATCGCCACACAACAATGCCGATTTTCTCCCTTTGCTGCTGCCATGGAAAGGTATCAGTCCCATTATTACGGCAAACTCCACCATATCTTGACAGCCTTTTGGACGTCAATGGTGGTTCAGAAGCACGGCACTTTAGGAAGGAAATCCGTCCCTACAATGGCATGTTTTCAATGAGTTCAGTCGGCGCCAAACTTGATCGGCGCGTTACTAATTCATCAGGACCATACTCCTTTGTCATTTGTGGAGCGAACTACCATCATATGGGTTCTTTGTTGCCTCCAGAAGGGAAGAAGCCCAAGTTCTCGCAGCTGTATGTATTTGATACAAAAGATGAGGTTGGTGATCGGCTTTCAAACTTCGCCTCTTCCGGTCTTTCTCTCAAACCTCGCATTGTTGATGGCTTGATAAAAATGTTTGATCAAACAAATGAGCTGGTCAGGAGTTTCTGTAGAGTTGCCAGGGAGGTCCAGGATCCGGTTAATCACAATTTGCGGCTAAGGATAACAGGTGCTCGCGAAGAATCCAACCGACAGTACGCTCTACCCACTGGTTCAGATATAGCAGGACTTATACCTGGTGATTTCAGTGCCGAGGAAGATGGCAGAGACATCATTATAAACCACCGTGAGGAGGGACTGCAGCGCATAAACTGCCTTAATCCAAAGTTACATGCTCTACAATTCCCTATCCTTTTCCCCTACGGGGAGGACGACTTCCACTTGGGTATAAAGTATAATCCTGTCCATGCCTCGCTAAATTCAAAAAGGAAGAATGTAACTGAACGAGAGTTCCACGCATTTCGACTACAACACCGTGCCAGTGAAGGACAGTCTTTGATGCGTGGGGGCAAGGCTCTACAGCATTACTGCGTAAATGCATTTTCGGCTATCGAGCAGAATCGGTTAAAGTTCCTAAGGCTTAACCAACCGCTCCTGCGTGCTGAACTCTACAAAGGAATTCACGATGCTTACAGCAAGGGTGACACTACTGGAAACGAGGTGGGAACGATTTTGCCAGCAACATATACAGGTGGCCCTCGGTACATGAAGCATCAGTATCTTGATGCCATGGCCATCTGCAGGCGCATAGGAAATCCGGACATGTTCATCACATTTACATGCAATGCACAGTGGCCTGAAATAACCCAAGCCTTTCAGACAGTTGTTGGGTTGAAGCCAGAAGATAAACCTGATGTGGTTGTTCGTGTTTTCAAAATGAAAGTTACCGCTTTGAAGGAACAGATCCACAAGCATCAGTTCTTCGGCAAATCAGTTGCAGGTCAGTGCCTATTCATTTATCATCTCAACTGTTACCGCGAGATCTGTCTTGCTCTTCAACTTTTGATACAGTTAGACACACATAAAACTCTTTCACCTTTACAATTTATGATGTTATATATTTATAATGAAGAGCCATGGGATATAGGAAACAAAAGTAGAGAATAAACCAAACTACAGTAGCTTAGAGCTGATTGGTTTGGCTTCTCCAGACCGTTGTTAGCCCCTTGCTAGGTGACAGATTCAACTTGCTTCCAACAAAGACAACCAAATTTGTTTTCGATGCTTTCTGAGTCCATCCACTTCCTATTCATTTGCATTCAAAAAATAAACAAATGCATGTGCATCAAAGCGTTCATTCATGTCTTGCTAAATAAGTTTATGGTTTCCTGTTGTTGCTTAACAGACATACATACGATTGAGTTCCAGAAGCGAGGTCTGCCGCATGTTCATCTTTTAGTATGGCTGCATGAGAATGCTAAACTCAGAACTGTCGAATCCATCGACTCGGTTATCTCTGCCGAGCTCCCAGATCCACAAAAGGACCCTCTTGGCTATGCAGCGGTGACAAAATTCATGCTTCATGGACCATGCGGTCAGTGCAACCAAAAATCTCCGTGCATGGTCGATGGAAAATGCAAGAAATTTTTCCCAAAACCTTTCAACTCGATGACTACTTATGATCACAATGGCTACATTGTTTACCGCCGCAGAGATCATGGCCAGACTTTTGACAAGGGCAATGGCATTCTTGATAATCGATATGTTGTGCCATACAATCGAAACCTGCTGGTGATGTTCCAGGCTCACATAAATGTTGAGATCTGCCACAAAGGAAGACTTATCAAGTATTTGTTCAAGTATGTGACAAAAGGGCCCGATCGTGCAACAGTCGTTGTAGAAAACTGTCCAAGTGACCAGGCACGCGAGTCAGGAGTTCCGCCGCAACGAGCGAGGGATGAAATCAAACAATACCTGGACTGTCGTGTTTTGTCATCGTTTGAAACAGTGTGGCGACTGTTTGAGTTCCCAATACATGAGCGGACCCCGGCAGTTGTTTGCCTTCCTGTCCATTTGAAGGACCAGCAATCGGTAACATATAATCCCGATACAGGCTTACAGTCAGTTCTAGAGGATCCAGAAAAGGCAAAGACTATGTTGACAGAATACTTCACTCTCAATCGTGTCGATCCGGAGGCCAGATCAATACCATACGCAGATATCCCATCTCACTACACATTCCATTTACGACCAAAACATTGGGCGAGACGAAAGCAGGGTAATGTTATCGGTCGCATTGTTTTTATCCCGCCCGGGACAACGGATGTATATTTTCTTCGTCTGTTGCTTACAAAGATCAGCGGTGCTACGAGCTTTGAGGATCTCATGACTGTTGATGGATACCTATGTAAAGACTATGAAGATGCATGCCTCAGGCGTGGTTTTTTGAGCGATGATGATGAATCTCAGGCAACTATAGGGGAGGTTGGACAGTGGGGAATGCCGACCTTGCTTAGATCTATGTTTGTCTTACTTTTGTTGCATTCAGAGGTTGCTGACCCGCGAAAGTTGTTTGAAGATAATTGGAAACTTCTTGCAGATGATCTATGTTATCAAACCCGCAGAGCTCTGGACCTACAGTACTTTCAACCACCACCTGAATTCCTACGCAGTGAGGTCTTGAAGCACATTGAAACTCTTTTGCATGCCCATTCTAAGGAGCTTGCCAACTATAATCTGCCACTTCCAGTCAGAGACAGCGACGAATTGCTTGGGAACAGGCTGGTTTGTGAGCACCTTAACTATGACCTATGCATGCAACAACGCACAGCAGACGAGATCTTTGCAACACTCAACCGTGAACAAATTGAAGCCTATCACAATATTATGGAATCTGTCAACAGTGGGGTGGGAAGGTTTTACTTTCTATATGGACATGGTGGTACAGGAAAGACTTATTTGTACAACACAATAGTGGCAAAACTTCGCAGTCAGTAAAAGATAGTACTGGTTGTGGCCTCATCAGGCATAGCGGCGACACTACTCCCAGATGGATCAACTGGTCATTCAAGGTTTAAAATTCCAATTGACATAGATGGTTCTTCCACCTGCAGAGTAAAGAGAGGTACTCACTTGGCAGAGTTGTTGCGACGAACCTCACTCATTGTTTGGGACGAGGCTCCCATGACTCATCGGTTTTGTTTTGAGGCTTTAGCAAGACACTCTGCGACATCATGGATGTGCCATTAGCTGGTCAATCCTACAAACCATTTGGTGGGAAAACAATCCTCATGGGTGGGGATTTTCACCAAATTCTGCCGGTCGTGGCTGGGGAGGCCGGGAAGCAACTTTGAATGCATCAATTGTGCGCTCTCCCCTGTGGACGCATTGCCACCTGCTCTTTTTGCACCAAAACATGCGCATCAATCATGATGTTGTCAATACCAAGATGATATTCAGTGGAATGACATTCCCACAATGGGTGCTTGCCATTGGAGATGGGCTCGCACCAGTGAAGTGCCTCGGTGAAATGCGGAACTCGCACGGATCGAAATTCCGCAGTACCTCATCCTTCCACCAAATGGCACATCAATTCAGCCAATCATTGATTTTGTCTTCCATGGACTACTTGATCTATATAGGTCAGTTTCCTTCCTTAAAAATCGTGCTATAGTTACACCAACAAACGAAACTGTTTCTGCGATTAATTCTGCAGTGCTGTCATGTATTCCTGAAGAAACAAAGGTGTATTACAGCATAGATAGTTTGTGCACTGAATCCACTGATAGTTCTGACCTTGACAGCCTCTACCCCATAGAATTTTTAAACTCATTGTCTTTCAATGGGTTACCTGAGCATGAGCTTACTCTCAAACTGTACGCACCCATCATGCTGCTCCGGAATATAGATCCACCTGCTGGACTGTGCAATGGAACACGATTGATGGTTACACATCTTGGGAATAATGTTGTCAAGGGACTCATACTAACTGGCACATATGAGGGAAAGACAGTTGCTATCCCGAGAATTGCTCTGAATTTCAGTGAACATAAATGGCCTTTTACAATGAAACGACGACAGTTTCCAATCCGCCTATGCTACGCCATGACGATAAACAAAAGCCAGGGCCAGACTCTAGAAAGAGCGGGAGTCTTCCTGCCCAAACCTGTATTCAGCCATGGTCAGTTATACGTGGCTGTCTCCCGAGTTCGATCAGCTGAGGGACTCCGCTTCCTCATTCACAATGAGGACGGGTGCGATGCAACATGCACCAAAAATGTTGTTTACACTGAATTGTTTGCGGAGCTATCCATGTCAGGTAATATCTACTCATTCGTTACTAAAATATTACCAGCCTACCCAAAGTGACCCTGCAATTGACTGTTCATTTTCTGTGTCGTCTAATAGGTTCGGATGTGCCAATTCGTGTTCCTTAGCAACACCAATAGTCTACAGGCCTGTATGCACCCTTTTGACATGCAACCGCCTTTCAAAAGCACACAGGTACGCAATTACTCTTCCAGTAACAGAGGAAGCAGTTATAGGCTGCTCCTGCAACGTGGAAAGCAGTTTCACCATGTGCGTGCTGTGAAACACGCATGCTTGAATATAACTTGGATTTCAATCTCCGTAGGCAGATGAGTCCTGTAGGTGAAGCATGATTGTCTGCTTTCTAAGTTGTGCGGCGATGCCTGCAGGTCCCAGGAATCTTCGAGAGGCCTCTGGTGAACTTTCTCATCACTTTCTTCAACCCCAGCCACAAAACCTTTTTGGAGTATCGCCACCATGCCAGGTTTTGATTTCTGACTGCTACCCCTGAACATGGTTCGCCAGTTCCAGTCCCGAAGTCGACCCCCATGTACCACACGCCGGGTAGAGTGACTGAGGAAAGCTTCTGCCGTTCGTGGACCAGCTGACTATGTTTTTTACCGTCATTACCGATGTGCTCTATGACACGTGCCTCAAGTGGTTCTTCTTCCTAACTATACTGTGTTCGATATGTACTTGCATGGGTTCATGTTCTAGAGCTAAGTTTGTTAGGAACTGGGAACCATTTTGTTCTCATGTCAGCTGACACTAAGGGGCCATATGTGATGCCCAAAAATTCAGTTCCAATACATTTTGCCTCCATATGTTGTGTAATGTTATTCATAGGTTTGCAGGCCAATTTTATGACAGCCTTATGGCACCTGGGCCACTGCTTGGCACGAGTTTATAATTTTAGAAAAACTGATGGGCCTATGAAGCCCCCGGCCCAAAGTACAGCGTACAGCCATTGAGAAGTTTGGGGGTAGGGGTGGCTATACGGTCCGGTCCGGTTAAATTGGCCCAAATTGATCCAGTCCAGTCCGGTTTTTTTGAGAATATAAGGACCGAAAATTGGATTGGATACAGTCCGGTCTTGATCCGGTCCGGTCTTGACCCGGTCCGGTCCCAATTCGGTCTTGATTTTATATTGAGATTGTGGGAATTTGAGTGGCCTAAGGCCTAAAAGGGTGAGGAGCTGGTTAAGTTTTGTACTAAGTGTAAAGGTTTGTGACCGTTTATGCAAATTACCCTTAAGTTTTGGGTGTTGAACTCTCTTATCCGGTCTTTATCCGGTTTTTTACCTCAAATCTAAGTCCAAAGATTGGATTGGATTGTTTACTATCCGGTCCCGGTCTGGTCTCGGTCCGGGTTATACGGTCCGGTTTCCGGTTTTTCATACGGTCCCGGTCCAAATAGCCAACCCTGTTTGGGGGTCGTCCGGCCTGCTAAACAAGAGAGTAGCTATCATCGATTCCATAGCCACCTCCCTCAAACCCTCCGTCGCAGTGCCGGAGAGACGGTCATCATCACCTGCAAATCGGTACTCGATTAAACACACTCACTTGACTGAACTCCTTACATATAAAGGGTTTGAGAGAACCACCGTGACAGTGGCCATGTAACCATTGCAACTCTACCCGGTATTCTCAGATTTTACGTATTTTTTTTTTCCTTTTTACACTTTTTGTGGATAGTACCGATTTCTTAAACCGTTTAGTTTAAATTTTAAAATGAAATATTACATCCAGTTTCTTGAACCATTTGAATCGGTCTGCCTTCAAGAAATTAACATCCTGGCACCCCATTTTGCTCCATAACCTATCTCTGCGTGCAGACTGTACTTTCCAACACTTTCGTCGCTCTATTGGACTGCCTTTCGTCTGCTTATCTCAATTGTCCATGGAAGAACACCGGCTAATTTTGTGCAGATTGGGTTGTTTGTAGGTGGCGTTGCAGTGTGTTCTGATCCGGTCGGCATGCGCAAAACTGTGGCCATTTTGCTGTCCAAATATGTAAGCCCGAATAATCTCCAGAACATCTCCATTGCTGCAAAATAACTTCCCGCGGCTACGCCGCGGGTATTGATTCTAGTTTACCATAATAATCAACAAACTGAGCTTGTGATTATTGATTGAACCACAGACAATTTTGGTTTTTTTTTTGGGTCATTTGAAGAGGTTCCACTACAATCACATTTATACATTCCTATGATCATCTGCATGACTGCGTAGGCTACAATTGCGGGTATCGATCTCAACTAGGACCCCAACAATTTAAGTACATAACTTTCTGTAGAGACTCTTCGGCCTGTTGAGCCTCCTCCTTCAATGTATTGGAGACCAATGCGGCAGAGGAAGGCGCAAGGCTCTTCGCCTGAGAGATGGATCTAACATTTGTTTTGGCGTGATGATGAACAGATCTGATGATGTAATTCCACCTGCAGAATCCCATTTGATCTTTGAGTGCCTCCACGGCTCCTATGCTGACGGCTACCATCCAAGCTTTGCTTGTCGAACTCATAGCTATATTTGGAAACTCGAGCGAGGAAGTGAATGAGCTTAGGGAGTAACTGTTTGATGAGTACAATGTTATCTGTAGTGTTGATTTTGAAGGAGTAATTGAAAGGCTCAGTTATATAGTAGTGGGAGGAGGAGTCAAAAGAACCTGAGGGTTAGGTAGTGTTGCTGGTTTTCAGTGGGTGGTAGCCCCTAGTTTTCTATGGCTTGTTTAGGAGCTGATGGTATGGGTGATGGAATCTTAAATGTGACTGCTCGCTGCTTGCGTGACATCTGTGTCAACGTGGCAGATTTGGGTGGGATTCAGCACTTGGTTTTCTAAAATCCTGAGGGAATTGGGGGAAAGAAGACAAGGTCAGCCATCCATGGGATGGGAAGAAACTAACCGACACGGCACATGTTGTTGGATCCGAGGCAAATTGGGTTTGCAATTATTTTTTTTTTATTTGCTGTAGAATTGCCGAGATTGGATGTGGTCGATCTGGAAGTACTTGCTTTCAATTTACCAATTCAACCAATGCCAGAAATAACCAGCAGAACAAAATCATGATCTAACTGATACTATTTTAACCGGATTCACAAACCATGAAGTACTAAATTATTGGAAAGGATCAAAGATGAGAGGATGCGAGTAGGTGAAACAGACTACCATTATCCTCCAAGAACTTTCTCTCCCCTGATCCGATTCTTTTTTCCGAAACTCCCCAGCAGTTGGGAGGAAAGCTCGCAGCAGCAGGCTTCATCATCATCTTCTTCTTCTTCGATTCCCACGCGGTTTCTAGAGGAAGAAAAGAGTGGAAACGAACAAGCAGAGGGGAAGGATACGAATGAATTTATGTGGGAAAGTTTCAATCTTTTTAGCTTCCATTTTCGTTTTGGCAATTTCCATATACATATAGATGGCAAACACTCCTTGATTTGGGAGTTTGCCAGAAGCAAATGAAACTGCGTTGCCAGGGTACAGAGTCCAATTTTCCGAAAACAACTATACATGATTACAGAACTATCTATATCGTTGAGAGAAGCATGCCGTTAATCATGAGTAAGGACCCCAACAGCTCAAGTACATGACTTTCCTAAGGGACTCCTCAGAAGTTTGAGCCTCCTGCTTCAACTTGCTGCTGGACGCTACCGCTGCAGAGGATGGAGCTAGAGTCTTGGCTTGAGAGATGGATCTGACGTTGGACTTGGCGTAGTGATGGGCTGATCGGATGATGTAGTTCCATCTGCAGAAACCCAGTTGGTCTTTCAGTGCCTCCACAGCCCCAATGCTTGCCGCCACCATCCACGCTTTGCTTGTTGAACTCATCGTTTGTATGTATGTAGCTTTAGAAGGAAGTTGGAGAGAAGTCTTGCGTATACTTGGAAGGAATGATTTGAATTTGACTATTGAAGCTTTGAAGAGACCCGTTTGGTATTTATAATGCTAGGAAGGAGAAACCTGATGAGGCTATGGGCGACCCTGGTATTGGGAATGATGGGTGGTGGAATTTTGAGGAGTAGAATGACTTAATTATCATTCCGTGTGCATTGTTATGAGTGGGATGGTGATGGGAATTGCCCGCCCGCCCCTTGGCTGTCTTGACTCTTTGTTGGTAACGTACTAACGTGACATATTGGGCAGGGATTCAGCACACGGATTCAGCTGAGGAAACTAGAAAATGGTGTCCCCGGAATTGGGGGATACCATATGACCGGACAAAACCAAGCTCGGGGCTTCCTTTTCTGGTTTGAGGTCCGGATAAAACGATTACCTCGTGTGGGCTTTTCTTTATATAATTGAGATTTAATTATTACTTGATATTATTATTTTATTAGTTTTTTTATCCTTTGTGATATTTGATAGGGGAGGTTTGTTGGAAATGAAGCGTGAATAGTTTCGAAAATTATATGTCCTAACGAAAGATTACCATATTAGTAGGTGAACTTCTACTAAATGGTTCTAAAGAATCACCACGTGTACATGTCGTCTGTCTGCCGATTAAGTGGGCATGCGGGTTGGTGGGTCGACTTGTGACTAATATTTTTTGGCAAAATTTTAAAGATATTTACTATTTATTTATTTATTTTGTATCAGTAACAGATATAAGGATAATTAATTCAAAGCAATATTCCAGGGATAATTCGACAAGAATTATCATACTAGACGCTTTTTAATTAAGAAAGTAATTATCTTACTAATTAACGCGACTTATTCCCCAAGGCAGAGGGTATATTCGTGGCGGTCTGGCTACTATAAATACCCGTCTCCTAAACCCCTCTAGACACACCACAAACAAGTAGAAACAAGAGAGAGAGAGAGAGAGAGAGAGAGAGAGTGAATTTAAGGAGCCTCAGTTTTTGCACAAAGTCCCGAGTTAGAAGAGAATGTTATTTTATCCCGGAGGTGGTAGGTGAGTAGAATTTTTGTGCGCAAAGAGGCAGTGCTCCGAACATCTTAAAGAGAGCGACCTAGCCCATGACTCATCCAGATTTCGGTAACCTCGATTTCCCATTGTTTTGTTACTAATAATTCCAAGATGACATGCTGCTGCTATGGCAATCGAATAGAGCATGAAAGGTTTTGGCATTGTCGATATCAATCGACCCTTCGCTTTCTTGGAGCCAACTTCCGTCGCTGGAGACAAAAAATGTTGTTTTACTTGACGACCAAGAAGTTGGCACACTGTCTCACCAACATGTCGGTGGACTTGAACGAAAAAGCAACTGATATAGAGAGGGTTGCTCCCGCAAAGTTGAAAGAGGAGGACTTCATGTTCAAGAACTAGCTCCTCAATGGGCTAGAGAGTGAGCTCAACGACTAATACGCGGATTAGAGCAACACCGCGATGATGGTTTGCGATGCTCTCCAAAATAAGTACGACACATGAGATTGACTCGTCCTGAATATCATAATTAATTCCCGCATAAGGTCCAAGTATAAACCTTAGTAGGGTGCAATGTATGTTTAAATATCGACGCGGGCCGGTCCGTGTACCCCTACTTCAATTGTTTGAAACATTATCTAGCGAATCGGTTTTGGTCGAAAAGATTGCTAATTAAAGTAAAACAAGGCAAAAGTAAACGGTTTTGAAAGTTCTATGTGAGAAGGATCACTTGGGTGTCGCTTCCTTCTAACTACTACCATGGCACGAGAAATTGAATTAATTGTTACAGGCAAGGTGACCGCGAACCGCTAGGAAACGCAACTATGGTCGTAGACCACACTCTCGTTTGCCAAACCAAGGGATACATTATAGGCTACTCAATTAGCCTCTTGGTTAAGGCAATCGATGGTTGACTTACTCTCTCACTCAACCCAATGGTTGGTTGGCTTAATCGCGCTTAATCAAATCGCTTAATTCAACATATATGTTTGCCCTACATTAACCTAGATAGGTGGCTTAAAAAGCCTAAGGAATCCCAACTCAATTGAGCCTCCCTTGAAAGGGGATTTTCCATCTCATCTAGGTTAGAATGACCAATTGCATCGCTAAGCACAAACATGCACAATCAACATGAAAAATACCTCAATAATTAAATTAAACAACACCCATAAACAATCACTCAATTCACCCAACAACTACATGGCAAATAGTTAGTGTTTCACAACATCCAAGTGAAAAAGAGTACTACTACATGCTAGGAAGGGGAAGAACACAAGAGAAAGATGTAGAAACCATCATGATGATGCCTCCAATCTCCTTTGAGCTTGTGTTGATCTTCTCTTGGGGAGAATCTTCCCAATCCACCAGTTAGAGCAAACCCTAGCCTTTTTTATTCCTTGGTTCATCCTTTCTCTCTCTAAAATCTGAAGAAGAAGACACTTTCTCACACTTGGCCTCCTCCTTTCTCTTCCTTTCAGCTCACATTATATACTAGGATCGGGCTCAGTTCACGACATCAATTCACGGCCGTGAACTCTTCAACGCGTCCTTGAACACAGATCGCGATGCCGAAACGCACCGCTTCACCATCAGGAGTTCACGTTTTGGCCTCAATCTTCACGGTCTTGTTGACTGTGATTTCGTCCCGCGGTAGTAACTGCAGAATTCTCCCTGGACGCATCGCGGTTCACGGTTTTGGGCTTTAGTTCACGGTCATAGTGGACCTTGAACTCCCATGGGAAATCGTGAACTGCGCCTGGAGCACCCTCTTTGCCCGGTCTTCGCCTCATTTCGTCACTAGCATCGCACATGAGCTCGAAAGGAAAGCTCCAATCCGGTGATACCATTATGGGGGCATTTGTAAAGCTTCTCCTTAAGTATGTTAAAAGCTTCAGAACATTCCCTTGTAAAAAGGAATGGGGCATCCTTCTCTAAAATCTTGGTCAAGGGTAATGCAATATTTGAGAAGTTCTCAATGAACCGCCGGTAAAACACAGCATGCCCAAGGAAACTCCTGATGCCCTTGAGCGTGGTTGGTGGAGGGAGCTTGCTTATTGTCTCAACTTTGGCTCGATCCACCTCAATCCCCCTCTTGGAGATTTTGTGACCCAACACAATGCCCTCCCGAACCATAAAATGCAACTTCTCCCAACTCAAAGCTAGATTGGTTTCTTCACATCGCTCAAGTACATTATCCAAGTTGGCAAGACAATGAACCTCCAAACACTGAGAATTTGTCCATGAACACTTCCATTATCTCCCCTACTAGCTTATCAAAACTGGCTACTATGCATCTCTGGAATGTCGTCGGGGCATTGCACAATCCAAACGGGATGCGCATGTAAGCAAAGGGAAGTGATCTTTACGAGTGGCTGTTAGGAACGAAACAACAACAAGAACGAGGTTACCGAATCTAGAGCTGAGTCGCGGACTAGGTCGCTCTCTTTAAGACGTTCGCGGCACTGGCCTCGATGCGCACGACAGACTATCAACCGGTCGTCTCCAGGATAAAACAGCTCATCTGTGCGGTTTTGTGCGAAAACCGGAGCTCTCTGAACACTCTCTCTATTGTATTTATGCTCGTTGTGGTGTGATTAGAGGAGCCGAACCCCTAGGAATATACCCTCTTGCTTGGGGAATAAGTCGGATTAATTAAGGAAGATAATTACTTCCTTAATTAAAACCGTCGGTTAGGATAATTCCTGCGGGATTATCCTTCGAATATTCCTTTTTAATCGATTATCCCTAGAATATTCCTTAGAATAACCGATTAATAATTAATTATTAGATAATTAATTTCGTTCGGAATTTCTCCAAAAAATATGTATATAGTCTCAAGTGAACCAACCAACCGACCGACCGGACGGGCGGCGCTCGCGCGCGTGTGTTTTGTGGTCCGTTAGGTCCTCCCTCTCCCACAAAAGTGGGTCACCCCAAGGGGCATGCCCTTAGGAGAGAGGCTCCTATCTTTATACACATTTTACCAAGTAAAACTACCAATGTGGTAGTTTTCCCACTTGAGACTCTATAGCTTTCAAAGCTATTCATACACATTTCCAACAATCCCCCACTTGAATAGTTTTGAAACTATCTCTGAGCATCAACAGTTCCATAAGATCGGGCATAAGCTAAGGTATCGCGAAGATTTGAACCTTAGCGTAGTGGTTACACTTCTGATTTCATAAGGGTGACTCGTAGTCTTGAACCCTATCTCAGACAGTGTAGCACACCGGCTCTTTTCATTGAGTTGTGTTCTCTTCTTAGCCCGTGCGTTTATGGACATGCACGTTATCCTGGTTTAGTGAACGCTCTAGCAACTTTGTGCCTCCAAAGTTCTATAGGGAGCGGCCCCACTCCCACATTCACATAGGTGAGTCTATCAGGAGTACCCCCAAAGTAAAGTACTCCACCCCACATAGGGTATATATCTCATTAAGAGTTCTTAACTCAACCTCCATTGCTTTGGGATTCATGCTTCATTATGCATGAACTTTTCGCATACTACTCATGACTTGTTATTACCCATTGAACCCATTTCTTGGGATCTCCAGTCTATTGGGTCGGGTTACCATCACTTGTAGTCCGTGGTTCGGTAGGCATAAGTCCCATACCCTTGGCGGTATTCTGGACTTTCTCTCTAGGTAATCCTTTTTTCAAAGCATCAGCTAGATTCTGTTCGGATCTTATTTGATCCACCCTCACTGCTCCTATCGTTAGGAGTTCTCTTACAGTACTGTGCTTACGACGAATCTGTCGTTTCTTTTCGTTATAGAAACGGTTCTCAACTTTAGCGATAGCTGCGGTACTATCACAATGTATCAATACCGGAGGGACCGGCCTTTCCCAAAGGGGAATCTCTGACAACAATCCTCTCAACCAACTTGCTTCTTCACTAGCCGTTGCTAGTGCTATCATCTCTGATTCCATAGATGATTGAGCTAGG